AACGGTGGTAGTTTCAGATGTTAAAAACTGTACTCACTCTTGACGTGAGTACTGCTGGTGCGGGGTTGTAAAAGGTTTAGTTACGTCACACATCATTCGCCTCTTTGTCAGCGAAGCAGCAGAAAGACGGGACACGTAGAGTTCATTCAGCCGCCTTATTTCTGCCTTAATCTTACAGATTGCGCGAAACGGTCGCATAATTTACGTAGCATTGGACTGGGCTTGCTGCGATGGTTTGGCCATGTGTTGCTAATGCCTCCAGAAAGGAAGACTAAGCAACTGTTCCTTGCAAATCCGACCGGCAGAAGGCCCAGGGACGGCCAAGATTATCCTGGTGCAAACATATGGAAGGAGTCTGTCCCAGACTGCATTTGTCTTTTGCCGAAGCTCAGACTCTGGCGCAGGATCGGGAACGTTGGAAGCACTGTCTGACGAGTCTGCCTCCGCGATGGAAGATGAAGATGGATTGGGCTTCTCTGTCGAATGTTAGGAAAAAGCGAATGATGTCCGACATTCTGAATGGTTCAGCACTGCGAGTGGTATCGGTACACCGCTATTGCCGTGTGTTTGGAACTGTGCGATGTTCACCAGGCCGAGCGACTGGAGGGCATTCAAAAGACAACGATCGAAATCTCCAGCCAAAATCACCAGACATCTGCTAGATATCTCACTACGGGAACGAAAACAAGACATTAATGGATTCGTCGAGCCCGCAGACGTCGGAATCTCTGGCATCTGGATATTATCCAGCATCTTGTACTTGTACTGAAGCATAAAACGTTTCCCGCAGCGGATCAGACGACCAACACTGGTAGGCAGGAAGGTAAACATTATGGCAGGTTCCGTGCATCATTCCCGTCGAATGCACGAATTATCTTATAGCCGTTGGTTGCCTGGAGAAAGATCAAGTTGAAACACCTGAAACCTTGGAAGAGAGAAGACGGAATCCTCGACTTCATTCAAGAGCCATTCTCTTGAAGCATCAGCCCGACACATGAGTGATACAAAAGGAGCTAAGGAGCCTTTGATTTCAACAAGTCTGCAGCTCACGGGGCTCATACGAAATAACTACGGAAAAGCGTTAGGATTCAGAAGATTCTCTTCGGCGACCGCGTTGCCAACGATACCGAGCATTTCACAAAATTCTCACTTCCACCCAGTTCTTGAACATACCTGCAGGCAGTCAAATGACGGCAGAACTCAGTGATGATCTTATCACGGACTGTGCTTTTCCTGCTGATCAGCTGTCAATTCGCCATCGGTAAGCTAATCGACGTTGGAGGCAACGTAAGCAAACCAAAGAAACATCAACAAGAGAGTCAAACTAACAAAACAAAATGTGAAAATAATGTAAGGTGTGCAAACAAACCTGAACTTCCTCAGAAAGACGTCCAACAATCAGAATATTTGAAGAAATAGTTGTTGATATGAGAGCTTACCGAGAATCAACCGTTTTCCACAACGGCTAAATTGTCGACCTATATTATCCTAGCAGAACTCGCAGCCTTTGTCACGCCTGGCGTTCCTGCGGGACTGGTTAATTAATGTTCATCAAGCGGGCCTGTTTATTCGGTTGTATCGGTGCCGATGCATCTTAACCATTTGAGGGCGTTAAGCAAAATACTTCCTCTTAATAAACCATCTTGAACTTTTTTTCAAAAGTTGAATTCGTGAAAAAAAGCTTTAAGTATGAACAGTACTAATAATATTCACTAATCACATTCCAGCAACGACAGAGCCAATACAAAACTAAAATAATTTAATATAAGTAAATTTTATATAGTACATTACGTTGCATCAATCTCACGGGCAAAGTCAGCTTTTACTTGCAAAATGAAAGTTTCGAATCAACATACGAAATTTAAATACAGTCTTTTTACAAATGCCTGCTGCTATTCGAACAAGCAATCAAACGATACACACAGGCAACTATGGTAAAAGAGCAAGTGCATAAGTACAGTGTACATCAAATCAAAGTACACGATATTGATATGCAAAGTAGTGTTGCGTCTGACTAGAATCATCACCATCAACATCAACTGCTGCGGATTGATTTTTTGCAAACATTTTTGCACGCTGTCCGTCATTACGGCAACAGCGGAATGTCAAACAAAAGTTCAAGGGAGGTACACCGGCTCGGAGAGGCAAGACTGGAGGAATGCGGGTCGTTCTTTGTTCTACTGGTCTGTCGAACCTTCATCGCAGGCGACGCTGATCGGCACCGACGGAAACGTGACCAGCGACTGGCCAGACCTCTGCTCGGTGCCGTTGCTCAACACGGCTGATTGGTCAGTTTGTAAGCAGTCGAACTTGAGGTGCGATATCGTATCTTTAAGTCTTCTGATCCGCTTTAGATACATTTCTGAAACGATTCGCCAATAAATTCGTCACTGCCATCAAGAAACACCGAAAGTACGTACGTTCCTTCTCTCGCGAGTTGTGCTCCGTTTCGATCCTCCTCCTTTTCTCCGCTTCGAATGCCTTGCAAAATGCAGCTGAAAAGACGCCTGTCTGAATTACTTTTGCTGTTAGATTAATGCTGATCTGCTACATGAACTTTCACGTCGTAGCTTATAACCGTGTTTTTCCTGCTGATCTACGTATTAAATACTATACCTTGCAGAAGTAATAAAACAAACGCTTTGTTCATAACGGCAAACGGCTGTTTTGATTTTACTACATCGTTTATGCCATATAATCGATACATATATACACAGTAAGGCTCAACATCTAAAACGTTAATTTTGACCTGCACATATCCAGTATCTGCCAAGAGAAGCTAGGCCTACCAAAGCAGAGCGGTCATTCAAATTTGGGCTATTCCCCATCTAACAACGACATATGCCGATGTCTAATATCCCTCTGTAGTACCATGCCAAAGGCCAGACACCATCATACAACTGGATTACTCTACTGCTTAAGCTATGTTAACTTCGGATGACGATAACGAAACAACAACGAAATACAATATGAATATCAACTGGTTGTTTCCATTGGCATCACTTATCAATAAATAGCAACAGTATGGTCGTTATAAGAAAATATATCATTCAGTAGAAAGTTAGTCTTAAAATTTCGTAAAGAAAATAAAGCTTTAAATTTAATGACCACAGAAAAGAAGAAAATCAAAGATTTTAAAGATCGGTTTTAAAAGATTACATTTCAAGTAATCATGACAATTTACCGTTAACCTCGAAATAATAACATGGTAACACCATGGTTGCTCATAAGGTAATCTTACAGCCGATGCATAACACTCATCCTTTTCTTATCAGCCACTACTGAAGCGGCATGAACTTCGAAAACGCCTCATTAGTTTAGTGGACACCGCATTTACCTGAAAGCCTATTGCCGTACTTCCATAGCTATTCTGACACAAGCCCCGTTTTCATTACTACCGTCGACCTGTGCAGGCATGTTTCGATGAGCATCAGAATTTTCCTGGCAAGTCAGTCGTGAAACATTTTATTTTTAAAAATCTTTTTATTTAAATTTTAGTTAACACCGTTGCTGATTCCTGGTAAGCTATCAGGAGGGTCAAGGCATACTGTGGTCACAAGGCGCACGTATCAGACAGTATGTTCGTTTATCCGGGACGCGTCCATCACTATTCTGTCTCCATCACTGACAGCACATTAACGTCTTTCGCAGTTTCCGGCTGGTTGCACCCAAAACACAGGGTTGAATTCCTTGCTCAAAGAAATTAGCAATTAGTAAGGGAAAAATTTCGTCAGGCGTTGAGCTTGAACGCGTCACTCAAACATGCTCAGCGACATACTAACCCTTTGCGCCACCTATCAC